CCCTCTCATGCTCTCTGTCTCTCATTCTCTCTCTTTCAAATAAATAAATAAAATCTTTAAAAAAAAAAAAAAAAGAAAACCACATGAATGATGTGCTATGTCCCCCAACTCCCTACAGAAAGAAAAGGCAATATCCAGAAACATCATGCAAACAGATGCATGCCGAGTGATCACCCAGGGCTTTTCGGATGTGTGTGTGTGTGTGCGTGTGCGTACGCGCGTGTGCACGAGTGTGTGTGTTTGTGTGTGTGTGTGTGTGTGTTGGGTATGGGGGGGTTCTTTAAACTGCTGACTCACCTCTCAGTCTGATAACCCTTAAATGTGGTGTTTAATGCTAGTCCCATGTTCGGGCACAGCATCAAGCACAGAAAGGAAGCCTGGAGAAGTGACACAGAGACCTGGTGAAACTGCAGTTACTTCTCTGCTGTGGAAGCTGGGAATGTGGGAACTAGGCTGAGGGACAGCTAGCAGTTCGCACAGCCCCGTGCGGGTGTGTTGTCCTCTTGGGCTCCCTGCTTGTGAAGTCCATTCCCTGGCCCGTCTTTCCAGGAAGCTGCGCACCTGGGCTCTTTGGGGACTGGAGCATTCACATTCTGTTCCAGGAGGTGGCTAAGGGCCCCATTAGGCTCAGGTGCCACCAGCCACGTCCCACAACATGGGACTGAGTAGCCCCAGGGCCCCCGAGTGGATCCTTGGTGCCCAGGGATTTTGTCCCACGGGTGAAGATGGCTGATTTGAAAGTGCTTTGGATCCCAGGTTGGGGGGGGCAGCCGAGGCCCAGGGAGAGGTTTGGAATTGTAGGGGTCCCATGCAGCTTAGGGTTGCAGAGCTGGGACTGGTATTCAGGTCTCTGCGGTTTCCACTCTACTCGTCTCACACGTCCGGCTTTTAGCTGTTGAGTTGTGATTTCACTCTTGTTTTGAGATTACTGGTCTGTGTAGGAGGCCTGCAGGCTTTGGGGCTGCTTGTGGCCCAGCCTTGCCGCTACGTGACCTCATTCTGGTCCAGCAGGAGGGAACCCCGTGAAACTCTGGTTTGGACTTGGAGGCCCTCCTTGGGACAGTCCCCACACATGGGAGGGAAGAGCTGTGGGAGTGAAGGCTATTGAGTTGTTCTGCCAAGTGGAACATACCCCCTCGTGCTTCTAATTTCACACCTTCTAGAAGGGACAGTGCAGGCTGAGGGTCAGGCCCACCGAGAGGAGCCAGCCACAGGGAGCTGATGCCGGCAGGAGGCAGTCCTTGGTCAGGAGGGGGCTCTGGGTGTATGCCAGGGAAGTGTCTCTCTGTCCCGTGTGAGGGCAGGGCCTGAGTCAGCCCCTCTGGGGGAACAGTGAGGGAGGGTCAGTGGACAAGAAGGCTCAGGGGAGGTAGTGCTGTTGGGCTGACACTCTTTGATCTGGGTTGAGGCTAGAAGTCTGATAGGCCATTTAGTGGACTCCTAAAGGCACAGGGGCACCAGGTTGGAGGTGCTTGCCAAGTACAAGCTAAGATCAGGATCACCCAGTGTAGCCCGGGTCTCCTGTGCTGTGTTGAGGGCAGCTCATCAGCCCAGGAGTCTGGCCATGGCAGCAGTTTGGTGGTTGTCTAGCACGCAGTCGGCCATACCTCCCATCGGCCCATGTGAAGCTGGCCCCCTTTGTGGGGCTAGGGGTGGACATCAATTACAAGTTTATTGTGGGCCTCAAGGATTCTGGTGTTTCTCTCCTGCAGTCCCGGCTTTGGGACTCTGAGCTACGAAGGGTCATTCAGGGGATGTAGCTAGGGGCTGAGAGAGGCTTCTGCCCCACGGGAGCTCGGCGCCACCTAGGCTGTACCCCAGGAATGGTTCCTTGGCTGTAGCTGGGGCCCTTGTGGCTCTTCAGAAGCTTCCACCACGTGAGCGTCTTCAACTGATTGACCACCGGGTGCCGGGCCGAGAGCCGGGCAGGCCCTTTGCTCTCTCCAGCCCGGGGGCCCGAGCCCCTCAGACAGCTCTGCTGCTCAAGGTGTGAGGGCCTTCAGCAGTGAGGAGGCAGCAGGTGGCGCAGGTTTCCACACACAACCCGAGCAGACACTGACACTTTGCCAAGGCAGGGGGTGCTGGGACAGGCTGAGGAGCCTGTTGGGGCTGAGAGATAGGGTGGCCCTCTACCTCCAGCCGATCTGCCCACCCCAGGTGGAGGGTGGACAGAGTCGGGAGGGCACTGCCAGCCTGGATGTGGCGCGTTGCCCTCTTTCCTCTGCCTTCGTCCCTGGGAACACCAGAGAAATTTCTCTCTCCGTGGATTGAGCTGGTAAAGAGCCTGCACCGGTCACCTTTGCAAGCTTCTCTGACTGAGCCGAGTGCTAGGATGCATTCAGTGGAGGAGGGTTCACACAGCCTTGTCTGGCAGGTGACGGTGCCTAGCTTTTTTAAGGAAACACCCCAATATTTCCAGGAACAAACAGCTTGTACCCACCTGGTTTCTGGTTTGGAGAAGCCACGGGTACCCTCGCACCTAGTTCAGCCGAAAAGTCTTGAGCTCAGGAGGCTGCAGACGGGAGGTGTGTCAAGGTCAGACCATTCCAGCTTTGCCTCTTACTCTGGGACATTGGGCAGGACCTTAAGCTTTTCCTTATTTGTAAGAACTGCTGCATCTGCCTCACAACAGGAGAGCATGTGTCTACATTCCCTAGCACCAGGCATGGTAGGTCTTTACAGATACTGGTCCTTTTCCACTTCAGCTTTTAGAAAAGATCCCAGGCTGCTCTAGGTGAGAGCTCTTTACAAGGTCATTGAACGTTTCTATTATGGGCACGGTCCTGGCACCCTGGGTGGGCAGTCAGTCTTTGGTAGGAAAAGGAGTCCATGGTAGGGGTCTCTGATGGCTCCGCCCCCTCTGATGGGCACGGGCCATAGTCCTCAGTCCTTCCCCCTCTGGGCTGGGGAGTGCCCGTTTCCCTTCCTTCCATCACCCACGGAGTCTTTCAAGGGTTTATCTAGCTCTTTGTTTTCTTTAGGCTTGTCCTCATCTCCCCCAGAACATCCTCTTGCTTTGGCTTCTCTTTGGCCGCACAGTTCCTGAAATCTGTCCCTGTGGTGACTCTCTGCCTAAACGCACTTGTCCTGACCGGTTGCTCTGAGTAGGCATGGCCTGCCGGTGCCTTGGTCCACAGGTCTGTTGGCAGTGCCCTTTATTAGTCCCGCCCATCAGGTCATCTTTTCTAGGGCCTGACTCCTAGAGGATAGGCCAGGTATCTTGGCAGTGGGCTGGCAGGGGTGCCATTACCCTCTCTGAGCCTCTGGAAGGTCTTGCTCTGGGGATCAGCCACAGTGGTGACAGTTAAGCAGGAGGAAGAGGAGTCCCTGCTTCTTGCTGGATCCAGTAGAGACTTAGGGGTGTCAGCATACAGGGGCCTCATCCTCTCCCATCCCTCACCTTGCAGCAGGGAAGAGCAAGAGAAGGAAGAGCTTTCGCACCAAGTACAGCTGTTGTGCGAAGCCCTGTGCCCCGAGCGAGGCCCCCATAGCTCTGTGTGGCAAGTGTGGGGGCAGTGTGCTAGAAATACAGATTGATTTTTCTATATTTTCTGAAACATAATCTTGAGCCATGCTCATTTGGTTTAAGTCCCCAGAGCTATTTGGGAGAGGATGGTGGGCGGGACGTGGGTGGGAGTTAAATCTGGTGTTTCTGGCTAGGCAGTTGGCGTTCGTGTTGCTGCGGAGTGACTGAGCTGCACGAGGACCGCTGGGCATGGCTCGAGGGCCTAGAACCCCAAACCAGGGCTGCTGTCCGCACCTGGGGCTGTGCTCTGAGGCTTGGTTGTTGTGAAATCACAGCCTCAGGGTATGGGATCCACCAGGGTTACTGGGAGCTTGCCCCATGCCAGAGCCAAGGCTGGGACTGGGGAAGTGGCATTAAGGGGCACAGGGTTGAAGAGGAGAGATGGCAGTGTGGGAGAGTGGCCTGGAGCATGAGTGCTACCCCTCAGGCGGCTCCAGGTGGAAGGAAGCTCTCCGAACGTTGCTCCCCAGCCCCCTTTCTTCCAGCGCTCTGTGGCCCCTGTGTAGTCATTTTATTTTGGAGAATTACATTTATGCCTGGGAGTCTCAGACCCAACTTGGATGGTTGGGTACCTCCTGGGAGAGGTGAGAGGACATCAAGAGGGAGAACCGCTCATTTACTCCAACTTGAGTCAACCAAGAGGTCAGCCTGGCTTTCTGTCCCCTGCCAGCAGCCTAGGATTGAGGATTGGGAGGGAGCAGGTGTCCTTGGCCAAGGTCAGGAGAGAGCTTCAGCATTCCTGGACCCCAGCTCCTCCCGGAGGCCACTCCTTGTCCACAGGGTCACTACTCAGACATAAGAGTCAGCCCACGGCAGGTGCTGATGAGCGAGTGCAGGAGCCTCCCTGGTGTGGGGGTTTGTGGAAGGAGCAGCCTGGACGCCTCAGAGACCAGAGCTCCCACGCCAGGGGCTTCTCAGGCCTCCTTGGTCTCCATATCTTTGTTGGATGGTCACTCGTTTACCTCTGACTCAAGGCATGTGGTGTGATATTCCTATTTGTTTGCTGGCAGCCAGTGAAAAACATTTCAAAAGCCTTGTGAGGTGGTGGTGGATGGGGTACCTGCTGGGTCTTTGCCAGCATAGCTGTTGTGGGCACAGCGGTCAAAGTTTCAGGTGCATGGGGGCCTCAGGGAGTCAGGTGGAAGGGGGTGAGGAGAGCGGAGGGGTCTGGACAAGCGGCAGGGGCTGCGGAGGGAGAGTCACCAGGAGCTATGGAATCTAAACACCATGGGTTCCTTTGTTTTGCCTTTTTTTTTTTTTTTTTAACTTTCTTGATTGATGCTTGATGCTTTCGTTGCAAGAGTGAAGAAAGCAGATTCTGTGGGTCCCTTGGGTCTGGAGGGTTGTCAAAGCAGAGACAGTGTGATGAAGTGACTGGGTGTGGGTCCAGCCAAGCCGGAGGGCCATGTGTGGCTGGGTCCGGAGGGAGAGTAGGATGGGGTGGGAGGCCAGGCTGCGTCCCGCGCTTGTGACGACCAGGCAGAATCATCTCACCAAAGACCGATGGGCCAGATCTGGAGATGGAGGGAAGGATCTGGTTGAGCCTGTGAGGGCCCCCTGCCAGTGGACGTGGCCTGCAGGCATTTGGGGACCAGGACGTCAGGCAGGTGGGCACCTCTGGCAGTCAGACCACACTGCTGAAATCTCAGCCAAGAGCTCAGAGTCATGCTCAGAAGTCACTGCAGAGGCCCCTGGGTCTTGCCTGGGTGAAGAAACAACTTGGTGACATCCCTGCCGCGAGCCGGTGAATTGTACATTGAGAGTGACTAATTAACTGAAAAGGGTAAGCCACCTTGAAGGCAGAATGATCTCAAAGAAGGTGGATCCCATCTGATCGTTGTTAGTGATGAAAGGGACCCCCCGAAGCCCTGGTGGTTGGGCAGCTGGAATGCACTTCTAGATAACTGCTGGGCTAAAGAGAATCGCAGTGGAAACTAAACGTCTGGAAGTGACTGCCAGTGAGGATATTGCATGTTGGAAACTTTGGGGATGTATCTAAAGTAGTAAATCAGAGGCAAATGTGTAGCCTTAAATGAGTTTATTTAAAACTGAGAAAGATTGGAAATAATTGAATTAAGAGCTCAATGCTGAAAGTTGCCAAAAGATCCTGAAGGCAAGATGAGACCCTCTGGAGCTTGTGGTGAGGAGCAGTGAGCAGGCTGGTGGAGCTGGAGCACCAGTGAGGGGAGGAAGCGGGGAGTCTGGTGAGGTCATTGGGGGCCGGGGTTGTCTGGGCCCCAGAAGGGGTGGGATGATGGTTGTCAGTGGTGGAGAAGCCTGGTCTGCATCCCGGTCCCTGCTGGCTCTGGCCCACGGTAGAGCTGCTTTCGTGGGCCACAGACACACAGGCAAGAGCTTCTGTGGAAGGGTGCTCTCTCCGGGAACACCAAGGTACCTGGTGCAGGAGCCGAGCCATCCTCTAGGTAAACAGCCACTGCTGGGGAGGACTGCAGGCCCTGCCCCCTTATTGCCTCCCTGCTGCAGAGTGTCTGGGCATTTGGACTCTGGGGAAAGCTCTAGCACCTGCTCTCTGGTCCCAGTCCCCCACCAAGCCATGGGCTGCCGGCCGCCTTCTTCAGGGGCCCTGCCACAGCTTGGCCTCTGGCATCTCGTCCCCAGCTTGGCATCTGGTGGTTGAGTGACAGCAGGAAAGGAGACTGATGAGTATTTGTTTGGTTCCTTGGTTGCTGTGACTTCTTGGAAACTGGCTGTTCCTCCATGAGCTCTGGGCAGGCAAAGAGCCTGGCTCTTTTGACGCTCCATGTCCTGGTTTCCTTCTCTTTTCCCTCTTCCTTCTTTGTTTTTTCTCAAAATGAAAATAGTTTTGTTGTTTTGCTTTTATATTAACATAGCAACGCCATATACTCACTGTTTAAGGATTCAAAGTTTGGGAAATTATAGGATTTCCAAGAATCAAGTAAAAGTCATCTGAAATTTCCTCCCCCCACCACCCCATAAGTCCTGTTCATCTTGTTCACCCTTGGGGGTTGTCCACCTGGAAGAGTACCTGAGGGTTGCTCGACCTGCCCCCTCCCCCACCCCCTCCCGCACTCAGCCCTGCGCTGGCAGCCCGTGATGCCTTGCACCTGGCATTTTGCACTCACTGATTTCATTGACGTTCCCAGTCATACAGATGGATCTCCTTTGTCCTATTGGATGGCCACGTAGGACTCCCGGCTGCCCTGATCCCCGGGCCCTTGGAGCCCCGCCTGTGAGAGAAGGCAGGGAGAGGCACAGGGGGAGGCTTTGTCTCTGACCTTTCAGGCCTTGGTCTCCCCTCTGGGACATGTCACCCATAGAAGGGGTCAGCATGCAAACCATTCTCCGAAGATTAAGTGGGTTAGTGCAGGTCACTGTTAACTGGCCTTGTACTTAACTTTCTCACCACCCTCATTATGAGCATCTAGGAGAGGAGGAGCCATGGGTAGATTCGGGAAGTGGAAGAATGTTCCATCCTGTCCAGAACGCTTAGACCCAGGAGGCAGCTTTCCACCTATCTGTCCCTTCTGGGCAGGCCGAAGCTCGTCTCGTTCCATGACCACAGATCCCTTTTCTAGCCCATAACTTGTCTGGTCTTTTCTGGCATCGAGTGCAAGGTGCGTCCCAGTGTTCCTCTTGTCCATGCGTCTACTGCTTCTACCAGCCCCATGGCCGGAGGCACCTCATTTGGGCACCTGGGGCTCTTGCTGCTCCCTGCTCTGGTCTGGAGGAACGGAGGTGGCCTCCATGACAGTGGCTGTGCTGTCATCAGTTAGGAGAGAAGCTCTTTTTTCTGGTTTTGCTTGAGGAATGCCAGGTACTGGCAGACTGAGTTTGGCTAGGAGGAATTGCTGGTCCACCGTGTTGTGTGAACAGACTCTTGCTCCGTGCATCTTTCTGTGGTGGATGTCACACATGTGGGAAAGAGCCTTCCGTCTTTGCCGGGAGATCACACCCAGCTCCTCGAAGTCTGGATGTGCTCACGGGCCCTCCAGGCCTTGCCTGCCCTGGTCTGGCATCATCACCCTTACCGTAGTCGCGCAGACCTTCAGCCCTGGGGAAGCCAGAGCGGGCACTTCTCCCGCCAGGGTCCTAACATAAGGCACGTGACATGCCCATTAGGGGGATGCGTCTTGTTGCTCCTCTGCTCAGGCACCTTTGATAATCCCCTCCCCAGCCTCCTTCCTGCCCTGCTTCGGGCCTCTTGTGTCCCCTGGACTCCCTGACGGCACCCTGCTTCTGCTCATTGGCTCCTCCTTGGGGCCTCACGCTTCTCTGGTCGGCTACAGGGTGGTGTAGGGGAGGAGCACGGCCTGGGCCAGGGGGACCAAGTTCTGGAGCCCGTGCTCGGCCTGGGATGAGTCAGTGCACCTCTCTGACCTCCAGCTCGTCCTTGGGAAGCGGGGACGGTGATGTCAACCCAGCAGGGCCACCAGCGTGCGCTGTCCTGCTTATTTCTCTCTGCCCACCCACCGCCCTGTGGCCTGGCCTTTGTGCTGTCAGCAGTGCTCGGGCACAGAGGCCTCAGCAGTGACACCCGTGGCTGAGCTCCTACAGGTGCCTCTGCCAAAGCCTGGGAAGGACTAGGGGCTCAATGAAGCCCTCAGCCCCTTGTCCTGCTGTGGCTCTCGTTCATGAGCTGGTTTTCTTCCTGTGCGTTTGGAAGCTAGAGTGACCTTTGGTGTTTGTTCTTTTTTGTTTGTTCTGATAGGGTCCGGCCACCACTGTTGCCTTTTCAAGAACGGGGGAGTATTTTGCTTCTGGAGGTTCTGATGAACAAGTAAGTAAAGAACAGTGTGAGGGGGGCGCCTGGGTGGCTCAGTTGGTTAAGCGACTGCCTTCGGCTCAGGTCATGATCCTGGAGTCCCGGGATCGAGTCCCGCATCGGGCTCCCTGCTCGGCGGGGAGTCTGCTTCTCCCTCTGACCCTCCTCCCTCTCATGCTCTCTGTCTCTCATTCTCTCTCAAATAAATAAATTAAAAAAAAACAGTGTGAGGAATGTTGGCTGATACTTATCAGAAGAGAACAGGAGCCAAGGCGCCTTGAGGATGGGCCAGGTTTCACCAGCTTCCTCGGTGACTTGCAGTGACCATGAAGGCCAAAACTTGGGGTGAGGTGCGCAGACCCAGGATGCTGCACTTGTGGGCTGTTTGAGGGGCGCCATTTTCAAACTGCTTGGCTGCAGGGAGAAGACCTGTGTGAGGAGGTCCTGTCCCATTTTGTCACCCTTTGTGCCGAGGCTTTCTGCCTGTCAGCCCTGGTGCCTCCTGCCCAGAATGTTCATTCTCTTGATGCTGGGCCTCACAGCTCTGACTGCTCAGCCCAGGAAAGTCCCACTGGCCTCCCGGCGAACTCCAGCCCCAGCCCCATGGACCGATTCGGGTTGAGTTTCTGCCAGGAAAGCAGAAGGTGGTTGGAGGCTTTTTCGGCACGGCCTGGATAAGAGACCGTGGGCGTCTTCCCACCCAGCACTGGTTCCTGTGCTAACCAAACAAGGGAGGAGGAAGGCTCACGGGACCCCTGAGCTGTCCCCGAGTGTGGAGGCCCGGCTCATTGCTTAAACAAAGGAAAATAGTACAGTAAAGTCACACTATAAATAGTCCTGGTAAAAGAAAGTCACATGGTACAAGAGGCAGCCTGGTAGAAAGTAGGGCTTCCGCCCACTCTGGCCCCTCCTCAGCTCCCTGGCTGCCTTCTTAAAGTCGGCTCTGAGAGCCTTTTTGGAGAGACATGTGAGTCTGTTCCCCTCCCAGGAATATATTCAGCAGTTGGACTAGTGCAGTTACACAGGGCCCTACAAACAAGGGGGTGGGGGATGTGCTAATTCTGTTTGTAAACAGGAATGAAGGCCTTAAGTGCCCATCAGTCGGGGGGCAGTAAACAGTGGGCTGCTCTGGGAGTGGCAAGCAGCCTCCCAAAGAACCAGGCTCGTGGTGCATTGCAAGCAGGAAAGCATCCCGGGCATGTTGCGCTTTCACCTTAACATGGATTTGGGGCTCCTTCTGTGGCCTCCGTTGAGCACCAGCCACACCCCACAGCTCCTGCCACCCTGTAAGTGACCCTGGCAGAGGGCAGCCACCTGGGGCTGACACCCTCTAGCAGGAGCATTGTTGCTCCCCTGCTCCCCAGGGCCGTTTGCCAACCTTTTGCTGGGGGAGCCTCAAGACGTGAAGATCCTTCAAGTGGACCGGGGAATAATGGGTGTGTTACCCATGGCTCCCTGGGTACCAGTGTCTGTGCCAAGCTGTCTCCTGTGAGGTTGGAAGTAGGATCATCCCCTCTTCACAGATGAGGAACCTGAGGCACAGAGAGGTTGAGTCCCTTGCCTGGAGCCACACAGTAAAGGGTGGACCCAGGAATTTAACCGTAGTGGTCTGGTGTAACTTAAAGCCAGGCTACTACCCTTGGGAGCTTCTGTTTCAGTGGGGAGACAGACGATAAATGAGGAAAAGAGAAAAAGACATTAAATAACTATTGAGTCTGATGCTATGAAAGAAATCAATAGAGGGCTATGATAAGAATTAGCAGGAGACCAGGGAAGGTCTCTCGGAGAAGATGCTGCTGAAGCAGACGCTTTAGCTTGAGGAGCCAGCTCCGCTTATGCTGGGACCCTCCAGGGAGGGACCAGCAAGTGCAAAGGCCTGGTGACAACATGCAGTGAGTCCATCCTGACGGCACAACCACGTCTTCTCGAGGCCTGTCTAAAAAGCCGGGGAGGTGGGACAGGTCCCAGAGTTGAGCTGGAGTGTCAGGTGGGGACTGTCTTGCAACTGGCCCAGAACTTTGGGGGTCACCCCTGCCTCCTTTCTTCCATGAAGTAGGGCTGGTGTGATGTCATTGTGCTCGTTGCTCTTGGCAGGTGATGGTTTGGAAGAGTAACTTTGATGTTGTGGATTATGGAGAAGTCCTGAAAGTGCCCAGGCCCCCAGCCCCGCTGGCCACGTCCTCCGGGAATCTGGTAAGTGGCTCAGTAGGCGTGTCCTGAGCCCTGAAACTCCAGTGGGTCATGGTGAACAGCAAATAATCTTTTGGCACTTGTGGTACTTTCAAATCTGGAATGCACAAACAAGACGTGAAGACTGCAGGGTGTGAGGCCCTGTGCCCGGGGGGGGGTGTTTCCAAGGCACAGGCTACTGTTGGTTGAGGAAAGGGAGGACCTGTCCCATGCCGAGCCTTGGGCCACACGACCCCGATGCAGAGTTCCTAGAGGGCGTGGGGCCTGAGCCACAGCTGGGACGGATGGGAAAGGTTCAGCCCTGTTGCTCTCACTTCCCTTTTTTTTTTTTTTTTTTACACTATGGAAAGGAAGTTCCTCAGCCACAAACCATTTTTAGTACCTTTGTCGGTAAAAGGGCATTTAGTGTTCCTGAATTCAAATAGTTAATGATATTTTTTGACAAATAGTTTTGGGGAAAAATTTGATAACTGATATGATCTCATTGAATAAAGTCGCGTTCCGCTTTGGCTGAAGTAAGCTTTCAAGCCAAGGATGTGGAGCCCTGAGGGTTTTAAGCCCCAGTGGCTGCCGGCTGTTTAAATCGCTCCCTCCTGGACCCTGGAGGCAGTGTAGCCTCTCCCACCCACGGAAACTGGCCTGAACAACAGGAAGTGGCTTGCCCGAGTCCTCCAGCAAGTCAAGGCTGGCCCAGAATAGAACCAGGAAGCCTCTGAGTCCATCCTGGCCTTTCTTTGGCTCCAGCGGAGGGATCCCCCACCCTAGCCTGAGACACACACACACACACACACACACACACACGGACGCGCACACACAGCCCCATTCTGTGTGTTGGGGCTACTTCTAGGAATAGGCCAGGTTGAGATTTAAAGCTTTTCTTCCTAGGGTTGCTCTGGGCCGGGAGGTTTTGTTCTCTCTCCACATTTGCTAATGAGTAGCGATTCTCAGCTTTTGGGTCTGGTGGGGATGACTGGGTTGCATGGCGGTCTGCTTGCTGCTGTTTGGTCTTCTGCCTAGAAAGGCATTTTTCAAAAACTGCAGGACTGGATCCTGTGGGGTGAGTGCCATCTCCTTTCCAGCTCCCCATGTGCTGGGCATTTACAGTGAGCCAAGCCCAGGCTGGGCGGGTAAAGGTACTGCTCTCATTCTCAGATGAGACGCCTGGGGCTTAGTCACCCACCTGGATGCCTGGACCTGGGGGCTCACCACACTGGCCCCCCTTACTCAAGCTAGTAACTGTAGGCAGCAGAGGGCTGCCTGGCAGCTCTCCCCCTGTCCCAGGAGAGGGCACTGCCACCTGCCTCTTGGGAATGGTTAGTAATCACCAGCAAAGGGAGAATGCCATATTGCTTTTCTTGTGGTTATTAGGCAGGAGGCTTGGACAAGCTGCCTGTTGTCCCTTCAGTCCTGCTCAGATAGGGGGTATGGAGCAGCCTTGTGTCCCAGAGCTGTGGGGCCTGATAATCTAGCATGAAGGCCTTCAGGGTGGGGGAAGCCAGCAGGACAGGGCAGGGTTTGGCATGGATGGGTGAATAGCTCACTGGTGCTCAGGAAAACCGTGTGTTCCCATACTACCTCCTGGCCCACGACAGAGCTATAGCCACAGTTCCACTGGGCATCGCCACGTGGTGCTCACACAGGGGAAAGGATATGGGCTCTGGGGTCAGAGAACTGGGTCTGAGTCCTGGCTGTGTGGTCCCAGACAAAGCACCCATTCTTCCCACACCTCTGTTTCTACAGTGGGACCTGAGTACTTTCCTAGGCAGGCTCTGAGGAGCCCATGTGGGACGTAGATGAACTCTGCTAACCCGCGCAGTGACTTGACTTATGAGTCCTAAAATTGTTGTTTATGGCTTTTCCCTTATTTGTCACAAGTCCCATTGGGATGCTGAGGAGGTTTATGGCCCCTCATGCAGACACACACCCATGCCAGAGTGTACATCCACACTGTTGTCCAACCATCACCACTGTCGTCCATGGAGTTCTTTCAGCCCTGCATGCCCAGGGAAGCCAGTTGGTCCAGCCCTGGCCAGCGGTTAGGTTTGCCCCTGTGGTGGGAAGGGAAGCTGACGAGTATAGTTTCACCTTTCCTGCCCTGGGGCTTCCCTGGCACTGAGTTGGTGACCGATTCCATGGCTGGCCAGAGTGTCTCAGCTGCCTCGGAAGCCCAGGTGCCCTGCAGCCACGTGCCAGGAACGGGTGCATCCGATGAGTTCCCGCCCCTCCAGCGGACCCAGCCTTGGCTGCTACGGGGGCTGTTCTGGGCCTTGCGGGATGTTTAGCGGCATCCCTGGCCTCTCCCCACTAGCTGCCGGTAGCACTCCCCACCCCCCGTTCATTGTGACAACCCAAAATGTCTTCAGGCATTGCCAGATCTCTTCCGGGGTGGGCAGAATGGCCCCCAGTGGAGAATCACTACACTAACTCCTGCCTCGGGAGTGAGCCCAGAAAGGAAGTGATTGCAGTGGCAGGAGGAGTGTAGGAATGTGGGGGGGTCAGGGCTGCTGTGGCAGGCGGAGCGCGGCCCCGAGTGTGATGACTCGAGCTCCTGCCCCTGCTCAGTTGGGCCAGATTTGGGCTCCCCCCGGCAGCTGGGGCTCAGGTCTCTAGACTGTTTCTAATAGAAGTCTATTGTATAGAAATGTCGTTTTGGCCTGTCAAACTTTGGAATCTTCCAGAGGTGATGGTAAACAACAAAAAAGACCTTTAGCAACTTGGTTTCCTTTACTTACCATTGGATGTGTTCTTGCCCTTCCTGCCTGCTGGCTTTCCTGGCTCTGAGATAGTAACTGGTGAGTGGTTTGGTGGCTGGCCAGGGTGGCTTGGCTCAGCTATGACCTTCTCCCCCTCTAGCTCTGTTTATCCCCTGGGCCTGAGGCCCTAAAGCTGCCCGAGACACACCTGGGCATTTGAGGATCTTACGGAGCCATCAACTCAGGTACCGTGTGTCTCATAGAGTATGGCGTTCTAAAGCTGGAGGGCAGGCCTCCACCAGTGGAGCATGGCAAGGGCAGCCCTGTGAGCAAGTGACGGCCCCTCTGCCCTGGAAAGCCCCCTGCCCAGGACCCCTGCTCGGACTGCAGCATTCAGCTCTCACTCTTGGAATGAAGGCCATCCTTGAGCTCACTCTGAACAGAGCTCTGTTCACTGCCAGAGCTATTTTCAACCTCTGGTTGAAATTCACAGCTTATTTTTAGGCACATTTCATGTTGAAAAGCACAAGCCATTTCCCAGCCCTTCAGGATGAGAATAATGGGTTCCATTTTCCCTCTATTCCTGGCTGAGTTGTGGAGGAGAGCGTTTAGGGCTGTGGCTGGGGAGCTTTTTCTGCTTGGAAGGCTGCAGAGGAAGGACTCCAGCCTAATAGCTGGGCTGAGGGTGGCCAGGAAGCTCCACGTTCTGCCCTGTGACATGCTGCAAGGCTGGAGGAAGGTCGGGAGGGCTGCTGTGGGCAGATGAGTGCCTCCCAGAGGGGCATGTGTGGGGGCAAGGGGTGGGCCCTGCAAGTCGTCTGCAGCAGGTGCTCGTGCTGCTGTCTTCAAGGGTCTGGTGCTCACCTCTGCCCTGTGCAGCAGTGCAGGCCTCCCTTCGTCCTCTCTGCACTCAGCCACTCAGGTTCTACCTCCCTCCTGCCGTTAGTGCTTTGGGGCCAGCCCGTGATGCATCAGGGTCACTGTGTCTTGGCTGACCTTGGATTTGGCCCCTGCTCCCCAAGCCCAGCTGCCATAGGGCTGATTTCTGCCTCAACCACAGAAGCATTTTAAAACCACTTTTAATAGCAAAGATGCATTTGTTCTGATTTACTCTCCTTCTTGCCTTTCCTCCAAACACCTGAGAGCCCATTATGCAATTGCGAAGGAAGGTTGTGCTGGGCGGGGTGGGAGGGGAAGAATGCAGAATTCCAGGTAATTCAGGAAAACTGAAAACTGCTTCCTGAGTTCTCAAGGCTGGCTACCCTCCAGTTCAGACAGTAACCTTGAATTCTGGGGCCCCTCAACCTCAGATGGGGAGACGCCCGGCCCTCCTTCATGAGCTTTCACGAGGGGGTACATGCCAGGCAGGCACTTGGAACCGTGTCTGGCACATGGCAAGTGCTCACCAAGCTTTAGCTATTTTTAAAATGTTCCTCTTCCTTCCTCTGTCAGACTGAGAGCAGGATGAGCCCCCTGCCCGGTTGGGGTGATTGTGTGTTCCCAACTTGCTGAGGTGGGGGACAACATGCAGTAGAGGGGGTGATTCTGACTGAGATAATTTTCAATGTTGACTCCTCTCTGCAGGTCGTCTTTGTGAGGTCTGGTGAGGGTTTTAGACCCTTGCAGGAACTGGTTCTGCTTCTTGGTGAGAGACCCAAGTCCTCTGTGCTCCCAGATGAAAAGGCAAATCCATGAGGTGAATGGAAACAGGCTTCTCTCCCTCTGCCACCTCCATGACTCCTCAAAGCAAAGTGGCTGGGACCCCCAGAGCCTCAGTGCTAGAACTGTCCCCAGGAGGAGGAGGCGAGGTTAGCCAAGAATACCTGACCTGAAGGTTCAGCCTTCCCTCTTTCTTCTTCCTAGTTCCTCTGGTTCTAAGGGTGAAGCCCCAGCCACCTCCTGCACCCATGCTTCCACTCCTGCTTTCTGTTTTGGGGTGCTACCCAGGTGTGGGCTTGACATAAGGGTTCTTGGGCTCCAATTCCAGTCGTGGCACTGGATCTTACTCCATGCTGAGGATCTGAGGCTCCTGGGTTCTCACCCCAGGCATGTAGTCTGAGGAGTCAGAGTTGAGGCAGGGGTTGGGGTCCATTTCCACTGCCTTATGGATTTCCCTCTGTTTGGGAGCATGGAGGACTGGGGTCTCTTGTTGAGAACAGATTTCTGGCTGGCATTTGCTTTCAGTAGTGGGGATAGGTATGGATTCGAGGGGATGCTTGGCAGACAGGGCATTGTGGGTGTTTACAGCAAGAGTGAACCCCAGATTTATGTGTCTTAGAAGGGAGCCTCTCCTTTCTTCAACTGACCCTG